GTGAGGTCTGTGGGAGTCTTAGGAGGTCTGTGGGAGTCTTGTGAGGTCTGTGGGGTCTTGTGAGGTCTGTGGGAGTCTTGTGGGGTCTGTGGAGGTTCTTAGGAGTCTCGTGGGGTCTGTGGGAGTCTCGTGAGGTCTTGGGAGTCTGTGGAGGTCTGTGGAGGTCTGTGGGGGTCTCGTGAGGGTCTGTGGGGTTTCGTGAGGGTCTGTGGGAGTCTTGTGAGGTTTGTGGGGAGTCTTGGAGGTCTGTGGAGGTCTGTGGAGGTCTGTGGAGGTCTGTGGAGGTCTGTGGGAGTCTTGTGAGGTCTGTGGGGAGTCTCGTGAGGTCTGTGGGAGTCTGTGGAGGTCTGGGGGATCTCGTGAGGTCTGTGGGAGTCTCGTGAGGTCTGTGGGAGTCTCGTGAGGTCTGTGAGTCTTGTGAGGTCTGTGGGAGTCTCGTGGAGGTCTGTGAGAGTCTTGTAGGGTCTGTGGGAGTCTCATGAGGTCTGTGGGAGTCTTGTAGCTGTGGAGTCTTGTGAGTCTGTGGGGTCTTGTGAGGTCTGTGAGAGTCTGTGGAGGTCTGTGGAGGTCTGTGGGAGTCTTGTGAGGTCTGTGGGAGTCTCGTGGAGGTCTGTGAGTCTTGTGAGGTCTGTGAGAGTCTGTGGAGGTCTGTGGAGGTCTGTGGGAGTCTTGGAGGTCTGTGGGGTCTCGAGAGGTCTGTGAGAGTCTTGTGGAGGTCTGTGGGAGTCTCGTGAGGTCTGTGGGGTCTTGTGAGGTCTGTGAGAGTCTTGTGAGGTCTGTGGGGTCTTGTGAGGTCTGTGAGTCTGTGGAGGTCTGTGGAGTCTGTGGGAGTCTTGTGAGGTCTGTGAGAGTCTTGTGAGGTCTGTGGGAGTCTCGTGAGGTCTGTGGGAGTCTTGTGAGGTCTGTAGGAGTCTGTGAGAGTCTTGTGAGGTCTGTGGGAGTCTTGTGAGGTCTGTGAGAGTCTGTGGAGGTCTGTGGAGGTCTGTGGGAGTCTTGTGAGGTCTGTGAGAGTCTTGTGAGGGTCTGTGGAGTCTCGTGAGGTCTGTGGGGAGTCTTGTGAGGTCTGTGAGGGTCTGTGGAGGTCTGTGGAGGTCTGTGGGAGTCTTGTGAGGTCTGTGAGGTCTTGTGAGGGTCTGTGAGTCTCGTGAGGTCTGTGGGAGTCTTGTGAGGTCTGTGGGGAGTCTCGTGAGGTCTGTAGAGTCTTGTGAGGTCTGTGAGAGTCTCGTGAGGTCTGGGAGTCTTGTAGGGGTCTGTGGAGTCTTGTGAGGGTCTGTGGGAGTCTTGTGAGGTCTGTGAGGGGTCTTGTGAGGTCTGTGGGAGTCTTGTGAGGTCTGTGGAGTCTTGTGAGGTCTGTGAGAGTCTTGTGAGGTCTGTGGGGTCTCATGAGGTCTGTGGGGAGTCTTGTGAGGTCTGTGGAAGTCTTGTAGGGTCTGTGAGAGTCTTGTGAGGGTCTGTGGGAGTCTCCTTGAGGTCTGTGGGAGTCTTGGTCTGTGGGGTCTTGTGAGGTCTTTGAGAGTCTTGTGAGGTCTGTGGGGAGTCTTGTGAGGTCTGTGGAAGTCTTGTGAGGTCTGTGAGAGTCTTGTGAGGTCTGTGGGGTCTCATGAGGTCTGTGGGAGTCTTGTGAGGTCTGTGGAGTCTTGTGAGGTCTGTGGGAGTCTCGTAGGGTCTGTGGGAGTCTTGGAGGTCTGTGGGAGTCTTGTGAGGTCTGTGGGAGTCTCGTGAGGTCTGTGGGAGTCTTGTGGGTCTGTGGGAGTCTCATGAGGTCTGTGGGAGTCTTGAGGTCTGTGGGAGTCTTGTGAGGTCTGTGGGGAGTCTTGTGAGGTCTGTGAGAGTCTTGTGAGGTCTGTGAGAGTCTTGTGAGGTCTGTGAGAGTCTTGTGAGGTCTGTGAGAGTCTTGTGAGGTCTGTGGGGAGTCTTGTGAGTCTGTGAGAGTCTTGTGAGGTCTGTGAGAGTCTTGTGAGGTCTGTGAGGGAGTCTTGTGAGGTCTGTGAGAGTCTTGTGAGGTCTGTGAGCCTTGTGAGGTCTGTGAGAGTCTGTTGAGGCGGATGAAACAGTTTCCTCCACTGGCCACCACGCCTTTCACACGGTCACCCTTTAACAGACACACACGCCAGCACAGCCGCGCCCACACACCACACGCCTACACTACCACACGCCCACACTACCACACCAGCACACGCCCGCGCCCACTACACACGCTACACCACACGCCACTACCACACGCCTACACCTACCGCCTACACTACCACACACCTACCACACGCCTACCACACGCCTACACTACCACACGCCTACACTACACGCCTACACCACCACGCCCACACCACACACGCCACTACCACACGCCCACACTACACCTTCACTCAGATTACACACACACACACACACACACACACACACACACACACACACACACACACACACCACACCTGCAAGTATTAGTAATAGTGGTAATAGATATGAAATAATATTTAGTCAATTTCTGGTCTTAGTTGAGGAATTGGTTTTATTTCATTAATTCTAGCCGATAGTTAACCCCGGACTGGCATCAATTCACTCAATCATACTCGTTCATACACTCATACATTCTGACCCATATATATTTATTCACTCATTCATTCACTCACTCGTTCATACACTCATACATTCTGACCCATATATATTTATTCACTCATTCATTCACTCACTCGTTCATACACTCATACATTCTGACCCATATATATTTATTCACTCATTCATTCACTCACTCGTTCATACACATTCACTCGCTGATTCAACCTCACACACACACACACCTAAACTCACTCATCTTCACACCCACCCTCCATCCACTCTCCCGTCCTCATTCCACACTCACACACTCACTCCTCACACTCACTCACACACTCACTCACTCCTCCACTCCCTCACACTCACTCCTCCACCTCCACACACTCACACACTCACACACTCACTCCACCTCACCACACTCACTCACACCTCACTCACTCCCACTCACACTCACTCACTCCCACACTCACACACTCACCTCACTCCCTCACTCCTCACACTCACTCACACACACTCCACTCCTCACACTCACACACACACTCACTCACTCACACTCACTCACACACTCACTCACTCACACTCACTCACTCACTCACACTCCTCCCTCCACTCGCACTCCTCCACACTCCCCTCACCCACCCCTCACACTCACTCCACCTCCTCCCTCCACACTCACTCACTCTCCACTCACTCACTCACCTCACACTCACACACTCTCCTCCCACTCACTCACACCTCCACACACTCACACACTCACTCACTCCTCCTCCACTCCCTCCCTCCCACTCACACACACACACACTCACTCACTCACTCCCACTCCCTCACTCACACTCCCTACTCACTCACTCACCTCCTCACTCACTCCTCCCTCCCTCCCTCACACTCACTACACTCACTCCTCCACCTCCACACTCACACTCACGCACTCACTCACACACACTCACACACACACTCATGATATAAGCTCCTTCAGATACACTGGAAAAACTTAATAACAAAAACTATCTCTGGTCACACATTAGCGGACAAAATTAGCGGAATAAAACTAGTCCGCTAATGGGAGGTGTTTACTTAAGACAGGTCGCGCTCTGTGTGTGTGTGTGTGTGTGTGTGTGTTCAGAGAAGAGAGAGAGAGAGAGAGAGAGAGAGAACTACGTTTTTTTTTAATTGTTATTGAATTGAGTTCCTTTACTGTATCTATCCGTGTACCTGTAACTCTACCTGTCCCTATAACCTATAACCACCTGTTCATTTTGTCCCCGAGTCAACCTAACCTAACCTAACCTAACCTAACCTAACCTAACCTAGCCATACGGTAAATAAACACTGACAGTTTTAAATCATTTAATAAGAGTTTAATAATTTACACCCAACTCAACCCATAGGCGCTCATAACTACTCCCTGGTGATTGAGGGAATTAACGACAGCCAGTTAGCGGTTCCAACTACGTCGATTAAATGGCACACACACAATGACACTACCAACTCGACAGTGACCAGGACAGTTGCTGGTGGCGTCAGTAGGTATAAGTTATCATTGACAGTGTTATCGTCTGCCGTACACCGTGTTATCTCCCGCGATAACATACAACAATCATCTCCACACTTGCCCCGACGTTTCCGACAGGTGGGGTGGGGAGTGGCCGACAGGTTTTGGGAGGGGGAGGGGTCCGATAAGTTTTTGAGGGAAGGGGTCGATGGTCACTATTCTGAAAAGGTCACGTGATATTTTTTTTTTGGGGGTCCCACTTAAGTTGTGATAATGTAGCCACACTTACGATAGATTCTTAGAGTCTTAGGTTTATTTATTTTTTTCACTTAACTTGTTTGATAAAGAAAGGAATATTTATCTCATTTAAGTTACGACATAAAAAGAGATTCTCAAAGATTCTTAAGTTAAATCTTCCTGTAGGGAGATACGAGAATCCCTCTAACTGCCTCACTTATAAGGATTCTCAACGAGTCTTACTTTAGTCTTATCTGGCGGAGTAAGATAACTTATCTCTATACGGTAGAGTCTTAGTGTACAGTATTAGTGCCATATTAACCATCATAATTACACCTTGAATGAGCCAATTAGATGCGTTCTTTTCTCTTTACTTCCTGAATGAGCCAATCAGATGCGTTCTTTTCTATTTACTTCTTGAATGAGCCAATCAGATACGTTGATTTCTATTTACTTCTTGAATTAGCCAATCAGATGTGTTCTTTTATATCTATTTTATTTAATAATGAACCAATCAGATGCGTTCTTTTCTATTTACTTCTTGAATGAGCCAATCAGATACATTCATTTATATCTCCAATCAGGGTGAAATTTGATTGAAAAACCTTTGGGAAATTCACCTTTATGTCATAGCTGAAGCAAAACAATTATATTCGTCCTGAAAAAAAAATAATTACGTTGATAATTTTTAACTTAATAATCTTTGAAAATTAATTATCATATCGTATCTTAAGAGCAAGGTAATATGACGTCACTAGAGGTAATGTGACGTCACTAGAGGTAATGTGACGTCACTAGAGGTATTAAATTTAACATGTTAATTTGTGAGAGTTTGGACCTATCAAGAGTGCCATAAGGACAGGGAGATTATGGCACTGAGAGGTCAAGTTCAATATTGCCACCAGAGTGAGGAGTATTAAGAGAGGGGTTCAATGCCTTAACTGTCACCCTCTTAACTTGTTCACCTTGAGTTTCTGTCTGTCTGTCTGTCTGTCTGCTTGTCTATCTGTCTGTCTGGTCTGTCAAATGTGTGTATGTGTGTGTTGTATCTATCTGTCTGTCTTTCAGGTGTGTGTGTGTGTGTTTGTGACTGTGTGTGTGTGTGTGTGTGTGTGTGTGTGTGTGGGATGGTCGTGAGTGAGTGTGTGTGTGTCAGCTGTGTGGGATGGTCGTGAGAGTGTGTGTGTGTGTGTGTGTGTCAGCTGTGTGGGATGGTCGTGAGTGTGTGTGTGTGTGTGTGTGTGTCAGCTGTGTGGGATGGTCGTGAGGTGTGTGTGTGTGTGTGTGTGTGTCAGCTGTGTGGGATGGTCGTGAGTGTGTGTGTGTGTGTGTGTGTGTGTGTGTCAGCTGTGTGGGATGGTCGTGAGTGTGTGTGTGTGTGTGTGTGTGTCAGCTGTGTGGGATGGTCGTGAGTGTGTGTGTGTGTGTGTGTGTGTGTGTGTCAGCTGTGTGGGATGGTCGTGAGTGTGTGTGTGTGTGTGTGTGTGTGTCAGCTGTGTGGGATGGTCGTGAGTGTGTGTGTGTGTGTGTGTGTCAGCTGTGTGGGATGGTCGTGAGTGTGTGTGTGTGTGTGTGTGTGTGTGTGTCAGCTGTGTGGGATGGTCGTGAGTGTGTGTGTGTGTGTGTGTGTGTGTCAGCTGTGTGGGATGGTCGTGAGTGTGTGTGTGTGTGTGTGTGTGTGTGTCAGCTGTGTGGGATGGTCGTGAGTGTGTGTGTGTGTGTGTGTGTGTCAGCTGTGTGGATGGTCGTGTGTGTGTGTGTGTGTGTGTGTGTGTGTCCAGCTGTGTGGGATGGTCGTGAGGTGTGTGTGTGTGTGTGTGTGTGTCAGCTGTGTGGGATGGTCGTGGGTGTGTGTGTGTGTGTGTGTGTGTCAGCTGTGTGGGATGGTCGTGTGTGTGTGTGTGTGTGTGTGTGTCAGCTGTGTGGGATGGTCGTGAGGTGTGTGTGTGTGTGTGTGTGTGTCAGCTGTGTGGGATGGTCGTGAGCGTGTGTGTGTGTGTGTGTGTGTGTGTGTGTGGAGTCAGCTGTGTGGGATGGTCGTGAGTGTGTGTGTGTGTGTGTGTGTGTGTGTCAGCTGTGTGGGATGGTCGTGAGTGTGTGTGTGTGTGTGTGTGTGTCAGCTGTGTGGGATGGTCGTGGTGTGTGTGTGTGTGTGTGTGTGTGTCAGCTGTGTGGGATGGTCGTGAGTGTGTGTGTGTGTGTGTGTGTGTCAGCTGTGTGGGATGGTCGTGTGTGTGTGTGTGTGTGTGTGTGTGTGTCAGCTGTGTGGGATGGTCGTGAGTGTGTGTGTGTGTGTGTGTGTGTCCAGCTGTGTGGGATGGTCGTGAGTGTGTGTGTGTGTGTGTGTGTGTCAGCTGTGTGGGATGGTCGTGTGTGTGTGTGTGTGTGTGTCAGCTGTGTGGGATGGTCGTGAGTGTGTGTGTGTGTGTGTGTGTGTCAGCTTGGGATGGTCGTGAGCGTGTGTGTGTGTGTGTGTGTGTGTGTGTGTGGAGTCAGCTGTGTGGGATGGTCGTGAGTGTGTGTGTGTGTGTGTGTGTGTCAGCTGTGTGGGATGGTCGTGTGTGTGTGTGTGTGTGTCATCTGTGTGGGATGGTCGTGAGTGAGTGTGTGTGTGTGTGTGTGTCAGCTGTGTGGGATGGTCGTGAGGTGTGTGTGTGTGTGTGTGTGTGTGTGTGTGTCAGCTGTGTGGGATGGTCGAGTGTGTGTGTGTGTGTGTGTGTGTCTGTGTGTCATTGTGGGATGGTCGTGGTGTGTGTGTGTGTGTGTGTGTGTGTCAGCTGTGGGATGGTCGAGTGTGTGTGTGTGTGTGTGTGTCAGCTGTGTGGGATGGTCGTGTGTGTGTGTGTGTGTGTGTGTGTGTGTGTGTCAGCTGTGTGGGATGGTCGGAGGTGTGTGTGTGTATGTGTCAGCTGTGGGATGGTCGTGAGTGTGTGTGTGTGTGTGTGTGTCAGCTGTGATGGTCGTGTGTGTGTGTGTGTGTCTGTGTGTGTGTCATGTGGGATGGTCGTGTGTGTGTGTGTGTGTGTGTGTGTGTGTGTGTGTGTCAGCTGTGTGGGATGGTCGAGTGTGTGTGTGTGTGTGTGTGTGTGTGTGTGTCAGCTGTGTGGGATGGTCGTGTGTGTGTGTGTGTGTGTGTGTGTGTGTGTGTGTGCCGCTGTGTGATGGTCGAGTGTGTGTGTGTGTGTGTGTGTGTGTGTCATTGTGGGATGGTCGTGAGTGTGTGTGTGTGTCATTGTGTGATAGTCGAGTGTGTGTGTGTGTGTGTGTGTGTCAGTGGGATGGTCGAGGTGTGTGTGTGTGTCAGCTGGGGATAGTGAGTGTGTGTGTGTGTGTGTGTGTGTGTGTGTCAGCTGTGTGGGATGGTCGTGAGGTGTGTGTGTGTGTGTGTGTGTGTGTGGTCAGCTGTGTGGGATGGTCGTGTGTGTGTGTGTGTGTGTGTGTCACTGGGATGGTCGGTGTGTGTGTGTGTGTGTGTGTGTGTCAGCTGTGTGATGGTCGAGTGTGTGTGTGTGTGTGTGTGTCACTGTGATGGTCAGGTGTGTGTGTGTGTGTGTGTCAGCTGTGTGGATGGTCGAGGTGTGTGTGTGTGTGTGTGTGTCAGCTGTGGGATGGTCGAGTGTGTGTGTGTCAGCTGTGTGATGGTCGTGAGTGTACTTGGCGTTACTTAAAGAAGAAACACCCACTAAGCATGAGCCTGTTTTCTACTAAGGGGTGACGCCTAGGAGGGGAGAGAGAGAGAGAGAGAGAGAGGGGGGGTCAAATTTAGAGGAGGGGTTTATTAATTAACTCAGGTAATGATGAGGTAGATAGGGGAGGAGTAGTAGATAGATCCTGCTGAAACTTAAAGGGGGAGGCTAAGGGGTGTTTTGTAGGGGGGCCGTGTTTGGGAGGGGATGGATAGGGGTGGTGTGGGAGGGGTTGTGTGTGTGTGTGTTCTAGGATGATGATTTATTTTTTTTTTGCGTGAATTTAGAATAATCTTTATTTGGTTGTTCTTCCCGTCTCGTGTCGCCCCACCCCACCCTGCCTGACCCTACCCTACCCTACTCCTACCCTAACTCCCACCCTACCCTACCCTACCTTACCCTCTAACCCACCCTACCCTACCCACCCTAACCCACTCCCCACCCTACCCTACCCTGCCTGACCCTACCCTACCCTACCTACCCTACCCCACCCTACCTACTCTACCCTACCCTACCCTACCCTACCCTAACCCTACCCTACCCTACCCTACCTATGGACAACATCTCCATTAGTCCACCTCTCTCTGTATGACACCTTAAGGCCGAAGTTGTACTGTGGATCTGTCCTCTCGTGTTGGTGGCTGCCTGACACAACGAGAAATTGACCCTGGGTTTAAATTACGTCTACAATGCCATACCACATTTCTATTATGCCCCGATGACCTATTGACCTTTGTAGATTATGATTGGGATTTGACCTCTGACCCTACCCTACCCTCATCACTGACCTCCTACCCCATTCCCCAATTCCGACCCTACCCCGCCTGTCCCAAGGGTTGACAGGTCTCCACACACACACACACACACACCATCAATTATCCAGAGGTGGGCAGATCCTCCTCCTCTCACCTGTCTGTCTCACTGCCCCTGTCTGTTTTACACCTGTCTCCTGTATACACCTGTCGCTTCTATACACCTGAAGCTGAGGTGTGAGAGACATTGTGATGAGTGAGAGATAGTGTGTGGAGAGACAGTGTGAGGACACACACACACACACACACACACACACACACACACACACACACACACACACTAACGTCTTTAAACACAGTAATTCACAAGATATTCTAAAAACACAAAAATATAACTACAAAATTCTATACCTACCAGTGAGATATCAGCTGTGATTTTGTCTATACCATCTAATATTATCCTGGCAGGGGGGCAGGTCTGACTGTGTCCCCTTAGTTGATGGGAACTGTTCGTTGCATACCTTCCACTTCAATTATTTCCATTACTCTTCACAAACGTTTAACTAAACTCTTATGTATATTATTTATAGAAGAACTATTAGGAATGTATGTTATTTCAGTGATAATATTTGCAAGAGATTGTTTAATGTTTTTTTTAGTGATTCGATGAAGTTGAAGTTATGATGGGATTAATCGAACAAGTAGGTAATGTTTACATCTAGGCGGGCGGATGATCCACAGTTAAAAAAGAATAAAGTCACCATCAACTAATGCTCTTCACATCAAGTACCATCTTTACCTGACAGTTTCAACCATAAATTGTTCACAGATGTTTATCACGAAATAAATAAATTTAGACGACGATTATTTCAAAGACGATCGTCAATTAGTTTATTATAATGTATTTGGTTAACGAAATCTTCATTGATGTATTTTTGTAACAGGATTTTCACTTATTATTTGTTCTGATTCATGTATGCAAAGTTGGTGGTGGAGGAAGAGGGAAAATCGATTCAGAACAACATGAGAATCGAGGGTTTATTTCCCCTAGGATGGATAGCGGTCATGTCAACAGCAATAGCTACATGCAGGGAGGCTACGGCGCTAAACCATTCACACGATACAGGCGACACCAACCAACCAAACATAACCTAAATTAATTGAATAAAAAAACCTAACCTAATCGTAAGTAATTAAATAAAAAACCTAACCTAACCGAAAATAATTAAATAAAAAACCTAACCTAATCGTAAGTAATTAAATAAAAAACCTAACCTAATCGTAAGTAATGAAATAAAAACCAACCTAACCGAAAATAATTAAATAAAAACTAACCTAATCGTAAGTAATTAAATAAAAAAAACCTAACCTAACCGAAAATAATTTAAAAAAAAAATCCCTGACCTAAATAAACGTAAAAATCTAAGCATAAAATCGATTAGTTTAGTTTAGAACTGTTTATTAGTTTAGGCTCGTATCTGCCGCTGCTAAAAACGATTCAACACTACAAGCAGAAACACGTATTTCAGAATTCATATAAATACCCTCATATTTTCATTCGATAAAATAAAAACACAGATATCAATTAAGATTTCGTCAAAACAGAGATATGAGCTTCGTCTTTACATAACTTGAAAAGAATCAGATAAGAGTTTTACAAGACTTTGCTGTCACGTAGAGCATCTGGCAGGGTAGAAGTGAGGAACATTGGAACGTGATAGTGATAAGAGAGATAGAAACGGAGACAGGTGAGAGAGAGAGAGAGAGAGAGAGAGAGAGAGAGAGAGAGAGAGAGAGAGAGAGAGAGGAGAGAGAGGAAATAGAGCGGACAAAAGAGAGAGAGAGAGAGGGGGATATAAGGCAGTCAATTGAAAAAAAGAGAGAGAGAGAGAGAGAGAGAGAGTGACCTGGTAGGCTGGGTGGGTTACGTCACTTGGCAGTTGGCGATCAATGATACCTGCTTTCCTGACTCCCCTCGGCTGACCTGGCGTGACCTGTTGCTGACTTGGACTGACTTGTACTGACCTGTTGTGACCTCTCGATGACCTGGGCTGACTTGTACTGACCTGTTGTAATCTGTATTAATTTGTAGATGACCAAAGGTAACGCCGAATTTGACAGGTAACCCATGGTCAAATCTGACAGGTAAACTCTGCAATTGTCACCTGTCAATATTGAGGCCTAAATATTTGACAGGGTGGCAAGGTGGATTAGTTCTCTGTCCCGTCAACCCATTCCACTGTCTATTATTCCACCCTACGACCTTCATATCCCATCCTACACGACCTCAACCCATCCTACACGACCTCAACCCATCCTACACGACTCCCTCCATCCTACAACGAGTCCAACCCATCCTACATGACTCCAACCCATCCTACATGACTCCAACCCATCCTACATGACTCCAACCCAACCCACACGACTCCCAGCCCATCCCACACGACTCCCAGCCCATCCCACGAGTCCAACCCATCCTACACGACTCCCCAGCCCATCCTACACGAGTCCAACCCATCCCACACGACTCCCAGCCCATCCTACACGAGTCCAACCCATCCTACACGAGTCCAACCCATCCTACATGACTCCAACCCAACCCACACGACCTCAACCCATCCCACACGACTCCCAGCCCATCCTACAGAGTCCAACCCATCCTACACGTCTCCCAGCCCATCCTACACGAGTCCAACCCATCCTACATGACTCCAACCCATCCTACATGACTCCAACCCATCCTACATGACTCAACCCAACCTACACGACCAACCCATCCTACACGACTCCCCAGCCCATCATACACGAGTCCAACCCATCCTACATGACTCCAACCCATCCTACATGACTCCAACCCATCCTACACGAGTCCAACCCATCCCACGACCCCAGCCCATCCTACATGAGTCCAACCCATCCTACGACCCCAGCCCATCCTACACGACCCCAGCCCATCCTACACGACTCCCAGCCCATCCCACACGACCCCAGCCCATCCTACACGAGTCCAACCCATCCTACGCCAGCCATCCTACAGATCATCCAGGTTCAACCCATCCTACACGACTCCAGTCCATCCTGCACGACCCCATCCCATCCTACACGAGTCCACCCATCCATGCCACCCAGCCCATCCCACACGAGTCCAACCCATCCTACACCCCAGCCCATCCTACACGACCCCAGCCCATCCTACACGATCCCCATCCTACAGACTCCCAGCCCATCCTACACGAGTCCAACCCATCCTACGCACTCCCAGCCATCTACACGATCAACCCATCCACACGAGTTCAACCCATCCTACACGACCTCCAGCCCATCCTGCACGACCCCATCCCATCCTCACGAGTTCAACCCATCCTACACGACCCCAGCCCATCCTACACGACCCCAGCCCATCCTACACGAGTCCAACCCATCCTACGCTACCCCAGCCCATCCTACACGACTCCCAGCCCATCCCACACGACTCCCAGCCCATCCTACACGACTCCAGCCCATCCTACACGAGTCCAACCCATCCTGCCACCCCAGCCCATCCTACACGATTCCAGCCCATCCTCACGACCCCATCCCATCCTACACGAGTCCAGCCATCCCACGCACCCCAGCCCATCCTACACGACTCCCAGCCCATCCTACACGATTCCCAGCCCATCCTACACGACCCCAGCCCATCCTACACGACCCCCAGCCCATCCTACACGAGTCCAACCCATCCCATGCCACCCCAGCCCATCCTACACGACTCCCAGCCCATCTATACGACCAGCCATCTAGTTCACCCTCCCAGTTCACCCATCCTACACGACCTCCAGTCCATCCTCACGACTCCCATCCCATCCTACACGAGTCCAACCCATCCTACACGACTCCAACCCATCACGCTACCCAGTCCATCCTACAGAGTTCAACCCATCCTACAGAGTTCAGCCCATCCCACACGACTCTCCAGCCCATCCTGCACGACCCCATCCCATCCTACACGAGTCCAACCCATCCTACACGACTCCAACCCATCCTACACGACTCCAACCCATCCTACACGACTCCAACCCATCCTACGCTACCCCAGCCCATCCTACACGATCCCCATCCAGCCCATCTCAGTCTCATCACACGACTCCCGCCATCCACACGATTCAACCATCCTACACGACTCCCACCATCCTACCGACCCAGCCCATCCTAGACCGCCCTCCACGCCATCCTACACGACTCCCAGCCCATCCTACAGGACTTCTACCCATCCTAAGGAACTCCAAACTTTAGGTTCAATCACAGAATTTCACTCTGCCTGAGAAAGCATAAGTGGACCTAATTTTAAAGTTTTCTTTCTTTCTCTCTCCCATTGTTTCATGCTCTCTCTCTCTCAGTGAGGTATGGCTCTACCACACTGCAGGGTGTTTTGTCACTCACTTCCTCGTAAAAGTAAGAGCCTTGGCAATGGTAATGTGTCGACGGCTTTTTCTTGCCCACACGTCAGTCTGTCTGTCCGTCCGTCACCAATCTAGAAAGTTTTACTTTCGGAACTGTATGTGTGTGTGTGTGTGTGTGTGTGTGTGTGTGTGTGTGTGTGTGTGTGTGTGTGTGTGTGTGTGTGTGTGTGTGTGTGTGTGTGTGTAAAGGTAAAAGAAAACAATTGAACATACTGCACTTTCTACTAGACCGGGTGATCCAGCCTCTGCAGTATAGCCAGAAATACCCCTGTACCCTCCTCCCTCTCTCTCTCCTTCCTTCCCTCAATCACTCTGTCTCTCTACTCATCTCTCCTCCTCCTTTCCTCCTCTCTCCACTCCCATCATTTCCCACTCACCTCTACCCCCTTCCCTTCCCCCTCTCCTCACCCCCTCCTCACCACCCCCTTCACCTCCTTACACCTGGCAACACCACACCTTTCCCTGACAGTCACCCACCCCGTTCATCATGGCCTTAATTCTCAAAAAAAATCCGTCCCTAAGTAAAAAAGAACTCTGTTAACATCACCCTGACACAACTAACTGGTCTACCTCAACAAAGACAACAACAACAACAACAGATTCTCATAGATTCATCGGGTCAACCCCTCCCTCCCCCCTCCTCTCCATGATTACCTGTAGATTATACCCTTCACCTTCTCACTCCATCTCCCTCTCCCTAGTTTATTTCACCTGCTAATTAGAGATCTTAGTATTACCTAGTGAAGGGTGAGGGAGGTAGAAGGATGAGGTTAGGTTAAGAAGTTAGTTAGGTTAGGTTAGGTTGTGGGTTAGGTTTGTGTAGAAATTTACCTGAAATATACATAAAAAACTTTCCATGGACATTCAACAGCCAGTACATGCACAGACTTACCAACAGTGAATAAATAGGTTTATATACGCCCAGTACTTGCTCAACAGTGAATAACAGAGCCAGTACATGCCCAGTACTACCAACAGTGAATAACAGAGCCAGTAATGATGCCCAGTACTACCAATGTGAATAACAGAGCCAGGACATGCCCAGAATTTTACCAATGAAAGTGATTAACAGAGTTTCGTGTATATGCCTGGCACTTACCAACAGTGAACAACAATAGAGTCAGCACATGCCCGTACTTACCAACAGTGCATAAAAGAGCCGCACATGCCCAGTACTCTTACCAACAGTGAATACAGAGCCAGTACATGCCCAGTACTTACTAACAGTGATTAAACAGGTTTCAGCACATGCCCACTTACCAACAGTGTAGTCAAATAGTATTTTGTGACATGCCCAGTGTTTCTGTACCAACAGTGAATAACAGAGCCAGTACATGCCCATACTCACCTACCAGTGAATAACAGAGCCAGGCATGCCCAGTACTTACCAACAGTGATTAACAGAGCCAGGACATGCCCAAAATTTTACCAACAGTGATTAACAGAGCCAGGATGAAGCTCCAGTACTTCACCAACAGTGATTAACAGAGCCAGGAATATGCCCAGTACTTACCAACAGTGATTGCTGTGAGCCAGGACATTCAGTACTTCTGCAAATAGTGACACAAGAGCCTGTGACATGCCCAGTACTTTCACTAACAGTGATTAACAGAGCCAGGACATGCCCAGTAATTTTTACCAACAGTGATTAACAGAGCTCAGGACAGTCTAGTACTTACCACAGTGACAATGGGGAGCCAGGACATGCCCAGTACTACCAACAGTGAATAACAGAGCCAGTACATGCCCAGTACTTTACCAACAGTGAATAACAGGTTTCTGTGCACATGGCCCAGCATATCACCACAGTGCACACAGAGTTTCAGCACATGCCCAGCACTTACCAACAGTGCATAACAGAGCCAGTACATGCCTCCAGTACTCACTAACAGTGAATGGGCTGGTTTCAGCATACGCCCAGTAATTCCCACCAACAGCATTTATTGAGCTGTACATGTCCAGTACTTAACAACAGTGCATAACAGGTTTCAGCACATTCCAGTAATTTCACTAGTGTGAACAGAGTTCTTTCAGTACATGCCTCCAGTACCCTACTCAACAGTGAATAACAGAGCCAGTCTAGTAATTCTACCAACAGTGGAACAACAGAGCCTGTTATTGCCTAGCACTTACCAACAGTGAGAACAGAGCCAGTACATGCCCAGTAATTTACCAACAGTGATTAATAGAGCACACAAATCGTCCAGTGGTGACGAGGATAAAAATTAAACAAAAAATTAAATATAAATAAAAATAAATAAAATAAACAAAGATGAAATAAAGAAAACAAATAAGAAATGATAAAAGAAAAACACAAAATTATATACAAGAATTAAAAAAAATAAAGTACAGCATGTGGAAAAATACAACCATGGTGGGGTGTGTGGGTGGTGGGTGGGTGGGTGGTGGTTAGGAGGTTTTCAAGGAGTCGATAGCGCCCAAGTACCTCCTTCCTAGTGAGGTCATGTGTGTATGTGTCTGTCGTTCTTGTTGAGGCAGTGTGAGTGTGTGTGTGTGTGTGTGTGTGTGTGTGTGTGTGTGTGTGTGTGTGTGTACAGATGGTTTGATGTTTATTTTAGTGGATTGATAAAGAAGATGTAGTCTTCAACACATGATCAGATGAGGTTAGGTTAAAATAGGTTAGGTCTGGATAGCGTTAGGATAGGTTAGGTTAGGTTAGGTTAGGTCAGGCATTAGGTGACCCTGAGGCGATGAGGAAGGGCCTGAGGGTAACAGGAGAAAGCACAGCACAGTATAGCACAGCACAGTATAGCACAGCACAGCACAGCACAGCACACAGCTTCTGGGTAATACAGTAAAGTAATCCTAGCATCAACAACCTCATCGTGGCTTGACTTAATCCCACTAACCCAGACCAGGGAGTAGACGTGCCCTGCCTACCAATCACATGCTATTGCTGGTCTCATTTATTTACTGCGCCTCAATATATAAGGTAATTTAAACACGCCATGAGGGTTATAATTACAATAGTCTATCAATTATATAAGAGCTACTACCCTCTACACGTCATCAATTAGCAGTCAACGCGCGCTTTTTACTTCCTTTTGTAATCTAGCCGTCATGATGATGCCACTACTCGGAGCTTCACGATGATGTCACTACTCGGAGCTTCACGATGACGTCACTGGTCGGAGCTTCACGATGACGTCACTGGTCGGAGCTTCCCCTTACTGGCTCTCTAAAAGCCCCGGCACCGGATACAATAACGGAAATTACCAAGAGTTGAAGAAACAAGTGAGTGAGGACGTGCGTCATGGACTTCACTCTTCAGGATACAACTGCAGCGGAAATCCAGCTTAAGCGACGTATACCGGCCATGGCTGTGTTCCTGGCCTGTCACACGAACGCTTCTGTCACGAATACGTCCTTAAAATCAGCTAATATACATTACTCTATCTTGCCTTCTCATTGGCTACGATATTTTGACTCTTAACGATAGATTTAAGATGAATTAAGTTAGTGGAGTGCGAAATATATGGCAGGAAAGATTTGTGGTTTGTGTATGAAAATCGGTTGAAACATTTTTTCAAACTATATTCCCAAGAAGTGATACAACCAGGGCCGGATTCAGGCGTATGGGCAGCTGCCCAGGGGCCTCCACAATCTGGGGGCCTCCACATATTACAATATTTTATTTATTTGTTTATTCATTTGGGTTATTTTTATTTTCATTCTTTAAAATTCATGTTTATCTATTCCATCACGTAAAACTATGTTCAGCAAGAAGCGTGATAGAAATTAGGCTAGCTACTCCTTGAAATTCATGAATACCTGGTTTTCCTATGAACGTATATTTTTAATATTTTTAATATAACTGCATATGGCTTCAAAATTCTCAAAGAAGTGTTCAAATTTCAGGATTTTCCTGGGGCTTCCAGCGCCCCCCGGAACTCCCAAATGTTTAGGCTCGCTTCACTCACCACCCCACCCTCTTGGGTAGTTATAATGAGGGGGGCCTCCTCAAAGAGGCTGCCCAATGCCCATGGGCCTCCACAGGTCTAAATCCGACACTGGATACAACCACTAGCTCATTATACACCATCGGTATTATAGGCAATATATCATCACTCAAGATCTTTTTCGAGTTTCAATTTCTTGTTTTGTGTTCATCAGTTTGTTGGGCGCTCATCCAGCTTAGTTAGTTAAGTTCAGACGCGGCCAGTAATAGCGACTCACCCAGGGATCACACAACGCCTTCCGGATGTTACGTCTTTCAAATGCTGTTGTTGTTTTAATGTGATGACTTAGTTTCACATCCTATGCCAACACTTCTCGGAATTTAGCGTTTTACAAGTGACGTCTTGGTCATTTAAGTCTCAA